TTAAATGTATATAAAAATGTAAAATTAAAATTATATAAATTATATAAAATATTAATAACTCCACAGACTTCTATGGAAGCAAAAAGTATGAAATTATTTTCTGGAGTAATGAACATTATGCCACAGATGCTTTGAATAGATCTTCACTTGTTTTGAACCTAGAGCCTTTCTTTAAGAAGAAGCAGTGCAAGTGCTGATTTAAACACACACACACACAAACAGACAGCGCTGATAAACACACGGCGGTGTCCTGACCTCCTTCATTACCTCCCTCTCTTGCCGTTTCACTGCTTTCTTTGGAAGTGGAAGTTCAGGAAGCTCAGTGTCTAAGCGCATCAGCGTTTGGAAAGTGAGATTAGAGCATCAGACTTCAAAGAACCCGAGTGTAATCCGCAGCCATTTTAGTAATTAAAAAACCCGCTCAGATTTTACATCTAGGTAAGTGAGTGTGTGCGTTTGATTAGATGCAGTTTTCAAATAATAATCATAAATCTCAGAAAGTTGGAAGATTTGAATCCTCAGAATCTCAGAAACTTCTAAATTCCTAATTAAAAAGTGAAAAAAGAACATTTGATGTCGGATTATCAAACTCGTACATAAATTTGGATCACAACACATGATAACACACTCTAATAAGTATTTCTTGATATTTTATTGTAATTTTAGTGCACTTTTTTAAATCAATTTTTAATCAGTTTGAACTCTTTTTAATCAATGGTTGTAGAATAGAATGACATTTCTCCTGGAATCCACTGACTGTGCTGTGATTGGCTGGTGTATTAGTGTGCTGCTCTCTGATTGGCTCTTACCACGTCGTTGCGGCTCAGCACCTCCAGGATGTTGTTGAGGAGTTCGACGCTGTTGCGCTTCTCATCCTGAAGCCTCTCCCCCACCACGGCCAACGCCCCGCTCAGCTCCCGAAGCATCATGGGTAACAGGATGTCACGGCAGTCTGGAGAGGACATCATAACATAAAGTAAGTACTATAAATAAAATTTAATAAAACTCAAAAAAGTTGCACAAAAATTTCTGCATACGAATCAGCACGGACATTGTGGAAAAACAGCTTTTTGGCACATGAAAAGACTTTATCCAATTAAAAAACAATCAAAAGCAATTAACATATCAAATTTGTAAACACATAACAGCACACAAAAAAAGGAAAAAATAATTATTATGGAAAAATAAAATAACTTATTTTAGGTGCAAATATAAGAGCAGGTAAGCTCGATGAGGTCTGTTTGATGACTGACTCTCACTCGAACATCTTTTCTCCTGCCTCTTAAAATCAGCACATTAAAAACTAATTTAAACTCTGGCTCGTTACCAGCAGATTATCAATGATGATCAATCTGATTTTGCTGAGAAAGTCAAAGTTAGAGAGAAAGATAGAAAGATGAACTAAAGCAGAACACAAATGTACCTATCAAAAGACAATGACAGACACTTTATTTTTCGGATGTTTTGATGGATGTTCGGTTGGATGTTCGGATGAATGTTCGGATATTCGGATGGATGTTCGGATGTTCGGATGGATATTCGGTTGGTTGTTCGGATGGATGGATGTCCGGTTGGATGTTCGGATGGATGTTCGGATGGATGTTCAGATGTTTGGATGGATGTTCGGATGTTGGGATGGATGTTCGGTTGGATGTTCGGATGTTCGGATGGATGGATTTTCGGATGGATGTTCAGATGTTTGGATGGATGTTCGGATGGATGTTCGGACGTTCAGATGGATGTTCGGATGGATGTTCGGACGTTCAGATGGATGTTTGGATGGATGTTCGAACGGACGGACGGACAGAGGGACGGATGGATGGATGGATATGCACCTTGGGTCTTTTATCAAAAAATAATATGTATATATCAAAGAATGCAGGCATTGAAATTTGAAAATGTCAAAATACAAAAATAAAAAACATTACAACATTTACAACATTTGTATACCCGATTCACATCTATGCAGGTCAAAGAGCAAAAGTCTATCCAGAATGCAGCACTTCATGTACAAATGCAACAGTGTTTGCCATTGACCTGAGCCTCCCACACTACCTTCCTCTCAACACAGTCTCTCTCTCTCTGTCTCTCTCTCTCTCTCTCTCTCTCTCTCTCTCAGCGCTCACATGAGTCTCAGCAGGCGAGTTTCTCTCTCACAGGAGCACAATGCATCAAGAAAAGGCAGATATCATAAATGCAATGTGTTTCAGGCGCCGTACATCACCAGGGTTTATGCAGAAACGTTTAGAGCAGCTCTTCACAGTGAATGACAGGTTTAACGTACGCTTACAATATTGTTGCACCTTAGGACTGGTAAATAAATGACAATCATAAACGTTGGCACTAATGCTAATTACCGAGGCGAGCCGTAATTGGATTTGTCACACTTAATGTCCCAGAGAGATAAAGAGCGATGAGAGCAAGACTCCTCAGAGGAGAGATAAATGCAGCCCTGAGGGAGAATATTGAGTGATCTGAGCTCACGAAGGCTTCGCTAGTGTCGCTTTTTATAGAGTGTCCCATTTCATCATCAATATCACGGCCAAGAACAACAGGAAAATGTGCCGTCGAGCATTTTCTCAAGGCCAAACTGACCCTCTCACCTCCTGGACTGAAGCGGCACTCAGAGAGTGTGTGTTTATCACAATCCGAATGAACCATTAAAACATGACAAACACGCTCAACATCATGTGTACATGCACATACCATGACGTTTAGAATGACCTACACATCCAGAGTTCACGCTCGCAGCGATTTTTGGCTGAGCAGAAATGGAAAAACACTTACTCGACAGACGCTATATTACTGTGGACTGATCCTGGCCGAGAGCCACACTAGCGGACGGCCAAAAGTGCTTCGTCTATCACTTCGATGACTTTTACAAAAAATGCATTTTGAAATTCGAGAAATGTGGAAATGAATAATGGTTGACACTGCACATCAGTTACTTTTCTTAGAATAGTCTATTGTCTGTCTTAAACACATCACTTTAATATCTAATCTGTTTCCTGCGAGGAGTGGAAAGACTCGTTTATATGATTGTGGTGATGTGATCAACCATTTTAGTTATTGGAGATGAAATGGTATGTTCCACGGGTATAAAAGGAGAAGAGCCTGACATTTAACTAAGCGCGTCATTCGGGGTCTCGGAAGTGACGTGATTTATTGGTGCGCCGTGTTTCTGTCTAGGAGGTAAGAGCTACTGATGGTAGTTGCATTATGAACATTTTATGTCAAGGAGGGTAATTTGAGACTTCCTTAATTTACAGTGTGGCTGAGGAGTAATACGGACACGTTGAGTGAATGTTATCTTTGCGAGTCTCTAACTTGAACGCCATCAAGTGCGCTGGGTGGCGTGAGTTATTATCTGCCGGTATGTTATTTATTTCATGCCTGGGTTAAAGAGATGGTAATTTTTTCCTTTTTAAATCTAAAGCCTCTTATGTTTTAATAGTGACATGGGGACCAGGAGGTGTTGCAGCAGGCTTTATGGGCGCTGTTAGGCTTTGTGACCATTCTTGAGCCAAATGGATTGCTATCTGCATGCGGAAATGAATGTCTGAACCGGAACGTTTCCGGACGGATTGGATTGTGTTATTTTCTCTGCAAGCTGCTCTCCTCGACCACTCTTCTGTCTCGTACCGGACGACGCATTTGTTGCAGTTGTGTATTTAACATTAACTCAATTGATTGACGATCTCATTTCACTGAGCAAGGATCACCTCGAAGACCGGAACGATAGCGCGTTCCCGGCCGGGGGTGGCGCATTTAAATTTAATAGTTTCCAGCGTTTGTTGCTCAGAGGATTTGAGGTGGGGTAACTACAGTGGCGAGAAGCTACGTGTTTGCCACTACTATTGTGTTTTATTGTGAATGTTGCTGTTATTTTGTATTTCTGTTCTTTTTGTTTGGAAATTGTTGTATTTGTGCTTTGCATGTTTGTTTTGTTAGGTTGTCTTGAATAACACTTTAAAGGATGACTCTGTGATGCCAAAAGCTAGTGGACACCAGCTAGTGAGCGGTCGCCATTATTATGTGAC